TACAATTTTTTTGAACTTGTGTGTCTGAAAATGAATTATTTTGCTCTCACACTTGATTATTTGGTTGAGTATAACATTCTAGGTTAAAAATATTCAAATCGTTTACTCCATTGTCCTACAGCTTCCAGTGCTTTTACTGGCAAGTTCAAAGATATATTTATTCTTGTCCTTTTCATGCAACATGGTTCCCCCTCTGCTCCCCCCCACCCCACCGTGCAAGGTTTTACGATTTTCTTTTGATTCCCATTGTTCTGAAATGTCACAATTATGTCCCTTGCTGTTGGTCTTCTTTTCCACTATGCTGGGCACTTAGTGCGCTGATACAGTTTGAAAATGCACATCTGACATTTCCGAGAAAATTTTTTGATTATTTTGTTTAATATTTTCCTTTCCTCCATATTCTCTGCTCTCTCTCCTTTATTTGGATGTTAGATATCCTGTTCTAATCCACTAATTTTCTTAACTTTTCTCTCTTATTTTCATAGCTTTGTCTTTTTGTTCTACGATCTGGGACAATTCCTTGGTTTATCTTTCAATCCACTTATGGGCTTTTTCATTTATGTTATCATGTTTTTAATTTCTAAGAGCTCATTTTGGTCCTCTAAATATTCCTTTACATGGCCTTTTTTTTTTTTTGGCTGAGTTGGGTCTTTGGTGCTGCGTGTGGGCTTTCTCTATTTGGGGCGAGCGGGGGCTACTCTTTGTTGCAGTACACGGGCTTCTCATTGCGGTGGCCTCTCTTGTTGCGGAGCAAGGGCCCTAGAGTGCATGGGCTTCAGCAGTTGCTGCACACGGGCTTAGTTGCTCTGCGGCATGTGGGATCTTCCCGGACCAGGGATCAAACCTGTGTCCCCTGCGTGGGAAGGTGGATTCTTAACCACTGCACCACCAGGGAAGTCCTGACATTTTATTTTTCCATGGATGCAAAGTTTTCTCTCATCTCTCTAAAGGAATTAATTATAATTAAAACATTTTCTTCTATTCTCTGCATTGTTTGTCTTTAATTGCTTGCTGTTGATTTGTTTATTTTAGTCTCTGCCTTTCTGCTTAAAGATTTTCTTCAAATGTGGAGTGATCCATGGTTCTCTGTTCATATGTAAGAGACTGGAATGAAAAGCTGATTGGAAGTTTTAGGTATATAGGTGGGGCTTGTTGATCTTTGTCCTTCGTGGTAGAATGACATGGTTGGGTCATTTCAAAGGAGATTCCCAACTGTCAATACTGGTCTGATTTCTTCAGCTGGTCAATTTATCCTGAGAGAACTCCAGCATTCTCTTGGCTGTCAGCAAAGTCTATGCTTTCTTCATGGCACTACCTTGTATAGTTAAGCGCTAAAACAAAATTTTTAGTCTGACTGTTGTAAGGGTTCAGGCAAGGTAGGGATCAACGAGTGGCAGCAATGTTGGGGGAATCTTAATAAGTGATGTGTGATGTGGGATAAGCCCTGAAAGACAGGTTAGTCAAACTGAGGCGAGAGAGAATCAAACTGAACAGTTAATACATGCTGTAGTTTAGAGAGGGGAGTGATCACTTTCAGATGATAGTGTAGCATGGCTGACTAAGACACGTATCTCTAATGAAGTCTCTATTCAGCCATAAAGCAGCTCATGACTTTGGCAAACCATTAATCTCTGACAGCCTCAATTTCTTCAACTGAAAAACCTGGGAGACTATCTCTAAAGTCCCGCCCAGGTCCAGAGTTTCTTTAAGGTACTTCTTAAGATTCTTTTGCATCATATGACTTTTTGAGTGATAAGTTATAATTAGTGAATGGCCATATAGTTTATGGGAGTGAACTTAGAAACTATAAAATGACTCACTTCCATGAAAACAGTCATTATTTTAAGTTACAGGTAACTTGACTTTATTTATATTAAACATATGCATGTGGCTTTAAAAAAGCTGTCAACTTGTTATATGTAAGTGTACTATGATTTCTTTCCTTCTATTGTAGTAAAAACCTAAAACATGAAACAAATTACATTGAAATCCTGACCTTCCTTCTTCCCTTTGCCTATAGACAGAGGATATTATTGAAAAAGGAAAATGGTCTCTTTCCTCTTGAATGTAAAGTATAACTGTGCCATTTCTAAATGGTGAAGGGGAATTAGTTGACATTAATTTGTTAAACCAACACTTATTTAAGTCTGCTGTGGGTCAGGCATTTGTGCCAGGTGCGGTGGTTGCACATATAAAAAGCATAGTCCCTGCTTTCCAATAATTCATAGCCTAGTAGGGAAAGAAAGGAAGTTCAGTAAACCACTAAGTATTTTACAGTGTGACACCATGAAAGTGCAGAAATGGAACCTCTGTAATTGATGTCTGCTTACTTGCTCAGAAGCCACTCCCCCTTTTTTCTGGAATGGTTCCTGGATTTTGCCCTGGGAATTATCCTTCTTCTCATTCTGTGTACTTTGACTGGAGCTGTGGGCATATAATTCAAATCTGGCCAATCAGAACATCATATACTTTGGGCCACTGTGATTGGCTCAAGGATGGTTCCATGATCCAAGCCAAGCCAATCTGCTACAGTGACAAGCAATCTTGGGACACAGTATGGAACAGTCAGGGTACAGCAGTTATTTGGTTATGGCTGGAGAGCTGGGTCTGAGTTGGAAAGATAAAGCTAAAATGGTAGGCAGCAACAATTTATGAAGGACCTTCTATGCTACACTGGAGAATCTGTACTCTTTCCTGAAGAGATAGGGAACCATTAATGGATTTTAAGCAGGGAGTTCACATGATCATGCTTATGCTTTAGAAAGATTAATCTGGTAGGAATATAAATGATGGAGTAAGGAGAAGATGAAGCCAAAAGCAAGAGAATGAATTAAGATGCCACAGTAGTTGTCCGAACCAGAGGTAATGAGAGACCTGAACCATAGGAGTGGCAGTGGGGATAGGAAGGAGAGACATAATAGGGATGTTCCCCAGAAGACACATCAAAAAGGGGTAACATGATAGCAACACTTTCCTGGAGAAATTGTGGTCTGACTGCATCTCTAGTTCAGCAAATGGTAGTAATTTTCAGAGAACAAAAGCAAAATTTAAGTTTCATTTAAGACCATGTTTCTCAAACCTTAATGTGTACACAAATCACCTGGGGGTTTTGTTAAAATGCAGATTTTGATGCAGTAGTTCTGGGGTGGAACCTGGGATTCTGCATTTCCAAGAAGCTCCCAGGTGATGATGGTGTTGCTGGTCTGCAGACTACACTTTGAGTAGTAAAGATTTAGGATTTTTTGAGGGGTGAGTGGGTCATTCAAGTAAAAAGGGGCAGTAGGTGTAGGCTCTAGATTTTAGTAAAGAAAGAGAGACTTGGGCTTGAGCTATTTGGCAGTCATTAGCATTTAGGAGGTGGTGATATCAGAATATGAAGATAATAGCCCAGGAACAGCTTTTGGAAAAAAGTAAAGAAGTCTAAGGATAGCCCATGAGTAGCACCAGAATTTAAGGGGCAGCTGGAGGATGAGGCTTAAGAATATGAAGTAGCAGATGAACCTAGGGTGCCAAATTTTCAATGAGAAATCTTTAATTCCCAAGCTTATTATATAAAATAATAGCTACCATTTATTGAGTATTTTATTCCTAGTACTCTACTAAGGGCTTCAACTTTTCTCCAAAACACAGGGCATAAGAAACGTCATTAAAACTTTTCGGTAACCACACCCTGTTACTCTGAGCTGGCGGAAAATTTATCCTGGGTCATTATCATGGCTCTACACATCACACCTAAGATTGCATGAAAGTTCTAGGGGCTCATACTTAGTCCAGTACATTTGGGGAAGGCCCTCAAGTCTTCATTCAATGTTGGTTACTGCTAATATGCTCATTTCCCCAGCTGGTTTATCCTTTGCAGGTGAGCTGTTTTGCCAAGTGAATGCCAAGCTTGGGCATGGGGTCTTGGCTATGGTTGAAATCTCTGATGCAGCCTTCCTAGTAGTACTACACATCCATTCCCATCTAAGGTCTTGCCACCTCCTTCCCCCATTAGGTCCCCAATATTCACAGAACCAGCAACTCTCCTCTTCTGTTATTCCCTTTGGTTGCCACTTACTCAACCAACCTCGAAAGCTTCTAACCTCTCTCCACTGTGAAGAGAGAAGTACCTCAATGGGCACAGGTGTTTTGGTACAAAGGGGCCTTTTATTCCGCCCTAGGGCAAGGGAAGTCCCAAATATTGTGCCAGAGCTATCAGGGGTAGTGTCCAGTCATTCTTTTACAGCACTAACAAAACAAATTATCTTAATATCTCAACAAATCATCTTACCACATATGCACTGTCCCATGAAATCTTTACAACCACCCCATGGGTAATTCTCATTTTCCATCCTGAAGCTTGGATAAATTTAGAAACCTGTTTCCAAACAGCCATTAAGCAACTGTGTAGGAACTGTGAGCTACGTGCGATGGACTCTGGAGCAACGAGGGCGTGGTATCAAAACAGTTCCTATCAAAATACCTCGCTCTTGATCATGTGTGAGTGGTAGTTACCAGACTCAACTTCAGAAACTTCACATAGAGGCGAGAAGTCTCTGTGTGTGCGCCTCGGATAGAGGGCTGGGGCTCCTTTAATCTTCACCACAGCCCTATCTCAATTTCACAGATGAAACCCTGAGGCTGAAAGTGGAAGTGACTTGCCCATGGCCACAAAGCCAAGAGCAGGTTTGCTGGGTCCCAATATGCTGTCCTTTCCATCATACCAAGCTGAAGGGGCCTGCGAGCGGCTCGGAGTCTCGCCCCCAGCCAATCCCCAAAGCAAAAACACTTCAAATTACTTACCCTCCAAGGAAAACAAACTGGCACATGCGCAGTATGCACCAGCGACTCCACCCGAGAGGCCTCCGAGGCCTACTCAGTGCACATGCGTCAGGCGGCTCCTCCCGTCCCCGCCCGTCACTCCTCGCCATTCCCGCCACTCCCCGCCCCTTTCCCGCCCGGATATCAGCCTACTTTTGCCGGATGTTGTTGTGAGTCCGAGAGACACGTGAGGCGCTGCTACGTCATCAAAGGCACGCGCACCAAACATGGCGGCGGCGGTGGTTGTGAGCGGGAAGGTAGGTAACGGCCGCGGGAAACATTCCTGTTTTTCTTCGGGATGGGGCTGTTTTTGCTGCTTGGAGCCTGGCCGGAGAGGGATGCGAGGGCCTTTCTGTGTCAGGAACAGCCTGTGGAGGATGCAGGAGAAGATGACTAGGCGGTGTCAGCTGTTCTCTCGAGAATGCCGGCTCAGTCGGGGAATTAAGAGACCCGGCTCCTGCTCCAAGGCCAGCTAGGCCTCGGCGCTGTTCTGGTCGGCTCTGTCCCAGGGCGAGGGGCTTTTATTTGTATTGCCTTCTTAAGAGATAGGTGGTTGCCCCGTTGTTTTCTTTTTCTGGCTTGATTTTCTCTGACTGGACCTCTTTATGTCTGCTCTTCGGACTCCAGGATTTTTTCTCTTCCTAATCGAACTCGCCTTTGCTTCACTCTGGTGAAGGCATCTTTGTCCTCTTCGGGAAGAGCTGAAAACAGGTGCTTTGCAGCTGTGCAAACCAAGAGTGTATTGGATCCATTTTACCAGGTTGCCGAGTTGGTTGGTGATGGTGAACAGCAGGGCATGTTTCCCCTCAGGGAGCTGGAGATTTACAGCATCGCACGCTTGTCTGGGAAGGCGTTAGTTACGGTATTTATTTCCCAGACAAATCTGTGATGTTCCCGTGGGAGACTCTGTGGTACCGTCTTACGGAGGTGGTCATTGACCCCGTCGTGATAGTTCGTTAGGAATTCGGATTAGGTGCGGAGGATAGTTTATCGCATAGTGCCTGTTCATGTTCCGAGGACACATCTTAATGCCTGTTGGTTAGGACTGTCGTGGCATGCTACTGGAAGCATTTCCCATTGCGCGAGTATTTCGAAAACAGTTGGGTCGGGTAGTGACTCATCTAACACCAAGGACTACTTACTTTTCGCAGATAGCTTTCTCCGTTCCTTGAGTTTCACTCATTTTCTTTATGCTGCCCTCTCCATCCCATTTTGAATTATTTGACAGCGTTTGTGCTTTAGTGTATGGACCACTAGCCAGAATAACACAGTACTGTTACTCTGGAGGGTGACCTTGGGAAATTGAGCAAGCATGAATTCTCCGTCCTTCATTTTCTTTATCCCCAGAATGGATGTGGTGCCAGGCATTATTTCTTGTATTGGAGTTGCTAAGATTACATGAAATAATAAAAACTTTATAAAAGATTACATACTTCTCCATACTGAGTATTTTAAATGATGGGTTGGTCATCGTTTTCAGATTTTCACGGTCTTTGGTTGTCTTGTCAGTTTTGTCTTCAGGGTGGATGCTGATCTTCTGCTTGGCTCACTACATATTTTAAGGTTATATTGTTTGATTTTTTTTATCTAGGACTTTCCAAGAAGGGATCCCTTTCTGTTTGAACTACACTCTTTCAGGTGTGGATTGATTTTGATAGAACCCTTGAGATGAAGCAGAGTTGTAAAATATAAGACTTTTTCCACCCTTTCCTTCCAGTCATTGCCTTTCATAATGTGACTTATTAGTCTTTTATTTCTTAGCTCTGCTTCGTCACCTCATTTATTCTCACTCATTGCAAATTTATACCCATTCTCATCACTCCATCTAAATTATTTTTCCATGCCCAAAGCTGCCCTTCTGCCAAATAATTGTATGATGACCAGCAAAAGCCACTTATTCTTCCCTCAGCAAGTTCAGATCTAGTTTAATGGCATCATCATTCACCTGGTTGCATGTAAAACAAACTTGGAGACGTCCATTTCTATAACAACATCTAAGCAATAACCAAGCCCTACCAGTTTTACCTTAAAGAGGTTTCTTAGATTTGCTGCATCCTCTTCATTCTCAGTGCTTAGTTCATTCAGGCATTTAGTCTTGAGCTCTTGGCTGATTTTTCTCCTTGTCTGCAGTCTCTTTGCCCACCGTCTCCTCTACACAACCGCTGGAGTTATTTTCTAATGCACAAGTCTGATTGTCTCTTGCTTTAAAAAATAAACAAAAAATCTTAATTTTGTTATTGTCCCCATTGAAATAATACTCAAGGCTGGTTAACATGGCATAAAAAGCCATATTGTCTTTCTGGCTTTGTCTTATGCTTCCCTACTTCCCAGTCTTGTTTCTTTGGGACAGGGGAATGCAAAGAAGACACACACACACACACATTTATGAAAGAGTGTGTATATGTGTGTCTCTCTGTATTTATTTATTCCTCACCCGCCACCCCAAAGGTTCAGCTAAGACCTGTCTAATTTAGAAACCTAGGGCAGTGAATGTTAACCAAGACTTGTAAGACTCACATGTGGTACTTTTAAAGAATATAGGTGCTGGGCCACAACCCAACTCTGTTGAATTAGAACCTCTTGGTGTTGAGATCTAGGATGTAGAGTAACTTTTCTACTAAGACTACTTTGCTTGCTTTGAACTTTGAGTGTAGGAAGTGATGGGGGGAGGAAGTTAATCTCTGTCATATGGAGAAGCAGTGTAAGATAACAGTTAAGAGCTTGGACTCTGGAGCCAAACAAGTTTCAAAAACTAACTTCACACTTGCTAGTGACTTCAGTCAAATTATTTAACTTCTCTATGCTTCAGTTTCCTTATCTGTAATATGGGGATGATAATAGTACATACTTTATGGGATTTTTAAGGTTAGTAAGTAAATGTATTAGAACAAAGCCTGGCACGTAGTAGATACTGTGTAGGTGTTATTCATCATCTTAATTTCCCGGCAAGTCATTGGTTGGGTATGGCAGAATTTTAAAGGTTTAGAATACGGTTTTTGGTATGGGTGTGAACTTCATTTTTGAAATTACTTCAGTTCTAACTCTCAGTGTTATTTTAGGATTTGAAAAATACCTTGTTTTAGAAGTCACATAGTTTTGATGAATGAAAAATCATCACAGTAGGGCAGTGGTTAAGGAGATGGGAACCTGATTGCTTGGGTTCAGAACCTAGCTCCACTGCTTTATAGTTGTGTTAATTTGGTCAAATTTCTTAACTTTCTGTGCACCAGTTTTCTTATTTGTAAAATGGGGGTAATAATTATTTTCCATCATGGAATTGTAGAGAGGATTAAATGAGTTAATATTTGCAAAGCATTTAGAATAGTACCTGGCATCAGGTAAGTGCTTAAATTTTAGCTGCTATTATTACTATTGTTAAGGAAGATCTTTCAGACGGTCTTAAAGTTGTAAGGTTATTATTGATTTGGAAGTAGTTGAATGTTTATTTTTGCTGCCACTTTCTACAGAGAGATTAAGGCCGCTTACAAATATTAAAGCACTATAGTTATTTAAAATAAATCAGAGGGAAAAAACGCAAAAGGAAAGTGAATAAGGGTAAGAAAGGTAAATGGAACTGGAAGTGCGATTATTAAATAAACTTTATGCTTTAGTGGGCTACAGTTTTGCCAAAGAGGGGAACCTGATCAATAATAAGAATTACAGGATCTACAATAAAATAAAACCAGGAGCAAAACCCAAAAAAACTAGTTTCTGAAGATTAGATCCAAGGATAAACTCTTCTGTAGTTTCTTTATACTATGTACTATAATGAATCTGATTATATAGCATATTGTATCCTTATGGTTAAAAAACCCCACAACCCTATAATGCCCATTAGCATGCTGATGGTTTTATACCAATGGCTAGCTAAGCAGTTCAGTAAATACAGGGTACTGATTTGATGTATTTAGGTCTCTGATGATTTGACTGAACTCAGGGGTAGGTTGTTGTCAACATGAGTGGATGGATTCAGTGTTTCATCTATGTATATTTTTCTTAGCTGAGCCTGTGAAAGTGGGTTTGAGTTTGATTATAAACCCTGATTAGTTCTTGGAGTTCAGCTATTCTTTGTTGCTATGTATATATAGAACCATATGTTTTAACAATCAACCAAATAGGGGGGGAAGATTGACATTCTGTTGTGAATTTTTTTTTTCCTGGCTGTGATCTTTATTTCCCGCAGTTTTATTGAGAAATAATTGATGTACATCACTGTGTAAGCTTAAGACATACAGCCTATTGGTTTGATTTATATATATTGTGAAATGATTATCACAGTAGGTTCAGCTAACACTCATCTTCTCATATAGATCCTCCTGTGAATTTTTAGGGGAGAAATAGGGACACTGACTGCAAAGGCTATCCTGCTTTAGGATAATTAATGGAATGAGTTGAATTAATGGAATGAGTTGACTCATTGCAGAGAAGGCAGGAGAAAAGAGATAGTCTGAAATAGGTTTTGGCCTTATACCCAGTGCCTCTGATGGTTGCAGTTTACTTTTATTCATTTATTCAACAAGTATTTATTAAGTATCTGCTTTCTTCCAGGCACTGTTTTAGGCACTGGGGATACGTCAGATAGCCCCTTACCTTGGAGATTACAGACTTCAGTTCTTCAGAAGGAAAACATTCACTAAAAACCACTCGCTTGTTTAAATAAGAAAGTAAATATGAGTTTTAGGTCCTTGAAGTGGTGCTAATTTTAGTGAATGTTCGTTTTCTTGAGACTTGTAGACTGATCCTCATGAGGGCAGGGCCTGAAATGTTTTACCTGTGTCTGACAGACATTCTGGCATATAGTAGGTATTCAGTGAAGAAAAAAGGGCAAGAAAGTAGAAAAAAATGAAGGGAGACTAGAGGAAGAGAGGTGTGTTCACTAATAGCACTCTTGTTTTGGAGTTAAAAAGTCCTGTTTTAGTATATTTGATATTCACTTTAGGTCTGTGTTTTTACTGTGTTAGGCTGTGTTAGAATTTGGTTCTATTGAAAATAACTTGAAACAATTGGGAAATCACCTGTTATTTTTTCTTTGAGTTTTTTTATGGCATTTTTAGTAAGAATTTATTTTGTAGCTTAAATTTGGTCCCTTCCAGTTCCTTTTAGATATGCTTGTAGTCCTGTGAAACCCCTTGCTTAAGAAAGATTAATATTCTTAGTATCTAGCAGATTTTCCTGGAGAATTTTCTTAGACTAGATCTTGTAACATGGTAGTAACCTTCCTCGTGTAGGATACAGTATGAGTATGTCTTCTTTATTT